CGTCGTATACACAACTCCTACTACACTCGCTAGCTGGGAACCCTAATTCAGAGCAGTTCTCCCATGTGCGATGCTGCAAAGGTCCCATCGACCAGTTCCCGCCATCCGCCTTCTGAGCAGATATCTGCTTGTGCTCCTTATCAGAGAGCCCAACACCCCAAAGGTCAGGAATGCACTGTAAACCATGCCAAGACGCCTTCGAACATTGATGAAGGGATAGGTGGGGGTATTGGGCCCTTTGCTTTGCGTTCCCTCTCAGCCCTGACCGGCCTCGACCCAGACCCTGAACTCTCCTGTGCTGAAAGCAAACCTTCACGTGAGAAAGTGGAGCATCCCTTCGGATCCATGTACATCTCTACATTAAGGTCCCTCCTGAATACTCTTCAAGTCAGGCCTTGTTTTAATAAGGTGCCGTGAGTGCCGTACTGCTTTTGGCATCTAAGAAGGAACCCTAATTTAGTGGTGAGACACGAGCCGAGAGACCTCGTCTGGCGAGTCCGAGTTGCGAGAGCGTAATTTTAGAGAACTACCCACATGGTGACCTTGTAGAAGCCGTTGGAAGGTGCAGGGTTTTGGTTTCTGGAGTTTAGGGTTTAGGGTTGTGGTTTTGGGGTTTAGGGTGTTTGTGTTTTTTGGGGTGTTTAGGGTTTAGGTTTCTGGTTAAGGGTTTATGTTTTTAGGTTTCTGGTTAAGGGTTTCGGTTTGGGTGATGGATAGAGATATAGAGAGGTAGAGAGAGAGAGAGAGAGAGAGAGAGAGAGAGAGAGATTGAGAGAGAGACAGACAGAGAGAAAGAGATATAGGTAGGTGGGTATGTGGGTAGGTATATAGCAAGATAGGTGGATAAGATAGTGTATAGACGGATGGTTAGATTGGGTTGGACAAGGTTAGGTTCGATTTGATTAGGTTCCTTGCTCGGATAGATACCACTAGATCGGTATTTTGTATGTACGCCATGAGACGCATTGCATAGTTAAGGACCGTCCGCACAGAGAAGCAACCCAGAGACCCAAATACCCCTTAATTAAGGAATATAGCTTAAATCATGATATTAAGGCCCTTATAGTTCAAGCCATATTCCCTAGTTAAGGGATATTGGGCTTTCTGGGAACATTGGGGTCTTTGCCGGGAAGGGCGAAGTTTGGCACCCACGTGCAGCAAGTATTCCGAAGCCAAATCCAAGGGCAAAGGCATCCTGCCCATTGAGCCTTGTATTTGTTCAGAAACTCTCAGCCTTTTTGATCCTAGGTTGGACAGAGACTTGAGCAGCTAATTCTTTTAGTTACCATAATAAGGAGACCATTTTACTGACGGTAGATCCCCATTACGGTAACTTAAATCAACTTCCTTAACAAGGACCCAGTTGCCATGTCTAGGGCTTCCCCAGCCTGCGAGAGACCGAAACACCGACACTCGGGAGGTGGGCTTGAAGTTCTAATTCCCCATCGTATCGCAACTTCGCAACATCCAGCTCGTGTGACAAACCATGGTATGGATCACAGGAGCAGGAAGAGATAGTAAACAAGAGCAGGAGAGAGCATGATCGCAGTAAGGATATGTTGAATTGCAGCAGCTTAGATTCATTGATCGCAGCAAGTGCTTCGTGTCGTGGTCTGATATGTTCTTGCGATCTTCAAAAATGTGTCGACGAAGTAGGGAAAGGTCTGCGGACGAAGACTTATGGGAGGCGGGCATCACATGTCTAGTTTTGCGGATGACGGCAGTCTGACAGGTTTTGATACGGGGCAGGCCGCTATTGATATTGGGGGAGCTAAGGAGCCAGGGATGATGACAATCCCTATTGAATACCGAGCTAAAGAGCCAAGGGAATCAAGCTATAACTATCGTAGAACATACTCGCAACCCGTCTCTGATTCTAAATCCTCTGGGCTAGGGGGTGCTCTTGCTGGTTTCACATTGAACTACCTTGAGTTTCATTTAACTCAGACCCGGGCCTCGGAAATCCTTGCTGCTAGACACAATCACCAAGCAAACCCGCAGTTTTCGCAGCAAGAGGCTGCACATTTTTCTTCCACGCCCAGAAAAAAGGAAGCGCATGACGGTTCAACTCTCGGCGTGCTCGACCCCCGAGCCCTATATGCTTTACACCACCTACCCAAAATTTTCAGCAGATCAGATATGCATGTTGCCTGGCTGTTCCAGTGCTTTGTGCCCAAAGCGGCAATGCGAGTGCGAGAATCGACACTAATAGCAACACTCCCCCAACGAAGCGCCTGAATCCCAACGAGGTTGTGAAGGGGTCTGGTACAGTCTTTAGGGTTTTGGGTTTTCCTGGCTTTGGTCCCGTTGGTTTTAGTACGTTGAACCCCAGCCCACCTTCGGAGACCGTGCGCAGCGTTTGGCTTGCAAGCTTTTTGTAGCTGCTCGCTCGTGGGGTTGGCTGTGTGGCACTGCATGCAACGGCTAATTTCTAACATATTCGGCTATGTATTAATAACAACACATGTGCAAATATACATACTTCTACAGTGTGCATCATAAATATATATACACATAGTACAAACACTGCACATGCAAGCTCGACATTTGATGTATGGCAGCACGTGCTTTTTCTCAGCGCTTCTGGGCAGTGTGTCTTGCACCAGCTTAGAGTCATCATGGCTCTGTGGCAGCTTGTGCTCAGCCTACTGGTCGCTTTCGCCCCGGCCTCAGTGTCACAGGGCACTTCGGTGTTTCAGGGCACTGGAAGAAGTATGCCAAGAATTTACAGGTCCGGCTTTAGATTCTTGAGCCCAAACCTTAAAAAATAGTGCAGACTCTGACTCATTGTGCTGCCAAAACCGTGCTACGGAGTATACACCTATGGTCTTCATTGCAACTTCCTTTTCGGGTTAAAAGAATTTACAACGGAGACTGCAGAGAAGGACCTGGACCTAACCTAGGGGTCGCTTAAATAAATACCAATACTTGGAGGCCCTTTTGACTTAGTAAGTCTACTTAGTATCCCCTAGAAACCCCATTATAATCCCCATAACCCACCTTACTAACCCTACTTACTAAGTCAAAAGGGCCTCCAAGTAATGATCAGAGGACTCCTAAGTTTAAGTCTAGCGTGTTCTAATTATTAAGGCCCCCTACTATAACATAGTATGATGATATACCCCACAACCCTATTCTACTTATTAAGGCCTCTGCTATCTATAATATACCCCTACTTCTCTGCTAAAAGTATCGTATAGTATTTAGTATACCCTACGTATAGTAGAGTATACCCCAAAACCACGTTCTAATTATGAAGGGCACCAACATTAAACCCTTATAGTAACCCGTATAGTAACCCTTCGAGACCCTTTATAAGATCCTTTAAAGGAGCCCCTGTACTATAGAACCTATTATCGACAGATCCCTTTACGGAACCCTTTTCTGATTATTATTATCAAGTAGTTTATCGGAATTGTTATCAGTAAATAATTGTTACTCCCTGTAAGAATTTTAACATATTGCTACTGTCAAGGGCCCGTACACTCGAAAGGCTGGCGCCGCGGAGGAGTCACTCCCTTGCTCGGGGTCTTCCCTGCTCCTGGCGATCAAGGCAATATCTCGGGGTTTAGCGCTTCGGGGCTTAGGGGTTGGACATTTGGGAGTTTCCAAAAATTAAGGGTACCTTATTTAGGGGTCCCTATATAATAAGGATGCTACTATTTAGGGTGCTGTATTGGGGTCCCCTATTTCGGAAAGCGTCATTTAGGGGTTTGGGGTCTAGGGGCTTAGGGTTTTAGGGTTCTAGAGGGCCTTGGGGTTTAGGTTTGCCTGGCAGAAGGTCCAGGGGTTTGCGGCTTTCGAGGGCTTTACCGTTTGAGGTTCTGGCCATATGGCCCATCATCCTAAGCCAATGGCTTAGGATTTTAAAGGGCTGTGGGCTTCCAGATTTGTCCGGTGTTTATCCAAACAGGTGGCAGCACAGCATCCCGAAAAAACAGTTTTTGGAGTGCATGGAGACTTTTTCAGATCTGCTGATCAAGGAATCTTGTTTACACCTGCGGATGATGGCGCTCCAAGCCCTAAGCCTGAAAGTATGGGTACTTTATTGGAGTTTCAGTGATGGCTTTCGTTTGAGGCTTATGAGCCTTGCTTCAGGTCATCCATGCTGGGATCTCGGGTGTTCGGGTTAAGATTGTAGAATCAGTCGGCAGCGGGATGGTTTGATGCAGGTGCAATTGAAATTACGATTATTCATCGTGTTTTGGGTCAGTAGATCCGGGCTGTGGGTTTCAAGATATGGGAGTCTCCGAAAATAGGGGATCTTAATAAAGTTTTAGGATGCTTATTATAAGGATCCCCAAAAGAAGGTACCCCTTATTTCGGAAACTCCCATATAGCACACAACGAGCAGAAGCAGAAGTCAGGGCCGCCAGGAGAGGGTAAGATGCACTCTCATGCTCTCTGCAGAATAGGACATGAACATGGCTTTTGTGTGGGTACTGAGATCATGCCTCTTATGTGAGTACTACATAAGACCAAGATCTCTTTTTGGCACACACTCTCTCGCTCTCTCTCTCTCTCTCTCTCTCTCTCTCTCTTCGCATTTTTCTCCTTACTTCAGCAGGTCGTCAGAGAGTTGCTGATGTGTGAAGCAATGCTTTGCGTGGGCAGTCGTGAAAGATGTGCCGCTTCTTTCCGGGCTGAGGTGTTTAGGTACCTGGATCTTCTGAACCCTATGCGCCCTGTATCGTGTTCAAGCTTGTTGCGTGGCCCTAAAGTTTTCGGGCCCCGAAGCAAGCCAGAAACCGTTTGGGGGGTCACAAGCATCGTATCTGCAGTTATCCTATACCTGGCGTGCTTGTAGCCTCGTTTCTAAACCTTCCTCTGCTCTATGCTCGAAGCATCTGGTTCCAGTCCCCAGCAACGTAAATAAGGCGCCTAAATTATTACCCACCTACTATTTTGTGGGTTCCTTGTTATAGTTTATAGTATAAAATGCCCCAAAGCCCTATAATTATTAAGGCCCTATATTAGTGTTTGCCCATCGTGAGCCCATCATGATCCTGCAGGACCTTGCGCCGTCCTGCATTGCAGAGTGTCCTGGCATATGCCCACATTTGCAGACACTCGTAATGCAAGCCCTGATGAACGTCGATCCTACACCTTACGTGTGTGCCAACAGCGCGACCTTCATTTGTATGGACACGCCGGCTTGCGATAGCCTCCTCAACACAGCAGAGAGCTATGACCTCTTCCACGTCCCCAGAAGCGAGGAGGAACTCGAGAACACGCGCCTTGGATGCTTGTGGAACACTTCCTTTTTCAGAACCTTGCCGCCCCGCGCGTCCAGCGGACCTCTCCTCTTAGCATCTGGAAATGCACGGTGCTAAGGCTAAGGCATAGTGTGCTAGCAGCAGTTTTAGAGGGAAGCCACCAAGAGCAAAGCGAGGTGCAACCCTCCGGACACATCCACGAGCACTGCGGCCAGCACTCAAGACAGCACAGCGCAGCTTGGATGGAGAGATGGAGCAGATCTGGGGTTTAGGGTTTACCTTAACCCTGAATAACCTACCTTTTTTAGGGTTCCTTATTATGATTTCCTTATATAAGTCCTTAAAAAGGTAGGTCCTTCAGGGTAAAGGTAGGGTTTGCATCCAAATACTTAAACCCACCAATCTACCCTGAATACTCCGGGATTTTAGCCCTGCTTTTGAAGCAGTTCTGTTGCGGGGCCTGCTTCTTCTTCAGACTCAAGTCAGATGATCTGCAGGTTGGTTTTAGACGGGTGTAGACCAAGATCTTCCAACATAGGAGTGGCCCTCAAGTTCTTATGACCGCATCCCAAATATGATATTAGGAGATATGTCCTCAACCATGCAAGGCCAGGGGGAAAGACACGGGAGGTCAGGCACAGGAGGAATGAGTCGGAGGGTTTGGAGCGCCGCTCGTTCCGGGCCTTGTGTTACTGCCATCGGCTGTATACACAACTTAGTTGGTTTCCAGGTTCCAATGCCACTAACTTTTCTGAGTTGTCCTTTGGGATCTTTTTTAATTTCCCCTACTATTTTGCAGAGAACCATAATGAAAAATAATTTCAAAGGGCTTAAAGGACAGCCCAGTTTTACTCAGACTAAGGCGATAGAGCGCTCGTAACCGCAGAGCCTTTTTCAGGAAGTGGGGATCCCAGCGAGAAGTCAACAACTGCTTCGGAGCTTGTGGTGCGGTGTCGGCGTGAAACCCTAAACCCTAAAACCTAAAAGGCTCGGACCCGACTGGTCCTTGCAGGTAGAATCGAACTGTACCTTTGGGCCGTGTGTTGTGCATGTTCAAAAACCCTAAACCCTAAACCCTATTCAATTCTCTCTTACATCACCCCAAAGCTTGGAGTGCCTCAGAAGGGCCGAAGGGCCGTAGATCAACAAAGACCGCGGGTTTAATTCGAGGGCTATCTGGCTCAGTACTGCAGTCTTTAGAACAACGCGGCTGCTCATAAAGAGCAGGATCAGATTGTCAAGCTGACCCTTTTTCCTTGAGTTCTTCTACTCTATTGCCTCTCCATCAGGGCGCAGGCAGATGATGTGGTACCGGCTGCGCGTAGCATCCCAGATGTGGGGCCGACCCCTTCCACGAGCTTGAGGACGGCACGGGGCCGTTGATGTTATGATGGGTTTTGGCTGTGTTTAGGGTTTAGCCACCTTGTGCTGTCTCCGAGACTTTCACTGTTTTCTGTTTGTTTCATGGTTGGGTCGTTGTAAGCTGGAGCCACCTTGTATCTATCTCCCTCTCATATGCCTGTATGTAGTTCTCAACGGGAAAATATTTTTGCGGGACCCAGGTTCTCAAATCTTGACGTCTACATTGAGAGAGACATCCTTTAATTTCGAACTGAATTCCCATACCTGAGCTAGAACTTAGTAGCTGAGTGGATACACTTTACACTTTTTAGGATAATATTACCCAGTAAGAAACTAAAAGTGTACACTTTTTGGGGCTTATGAAGTCAGCAACTAAGAGACAGAACATTCCTCAGCAAAGCTCGAATGGTTGAAACGGCAGCTAGTCGGATCGGACAGCGGCTCATTCATGACAAACTCCGAACTAATGCAAACCCAAAGGGTCCAAGTAATGGAACAGCATATGGGATTTTCCGAAAATTAGGGGGCACCGAAATAAGGATCCTACTACTTAGGGTACCATATTAGGGTCCCCTTTTTTCGCAACCTCCCATGTCCTTTTGGGGCCCGAGTAATCCCGAGTACCTACTAAGTACCTACTATACTAGTACTTGGACCCTTTGGGAAAGGTCTCCGACCTCTTGAAAACCCTTCCATGCGAAGGGCACAGCCTGCCCTGACCTCCCCCGCGCCAACGGGCAGCACGTCTCAGACGTTGCAGGCCTGTCCTGGCTCATAAGGGTGGTAGTCAAAATGAGGGTACCTTTTGGGGTGCCCTAAGTAATAGGTGCCGTACTATCATAGGGACCCCAAAAGGGACCATAATTTCGACAACCACCCAGAAGGGGTTGGCGGCCAGGGCTGTCATAGTGTACAGCATAGAAGGGCACTGGAGCTTGGAGAACGGCAGTATACTCTGTAATTCTACCCGTTGTAACTGGGTCGTGTCTTGTTTTGAAGGTACATTCCGGGTTTGCAGGACTTGGCGGACTTTGGGATGTAATTGCAGTTGTAGGCAAGTGTCGTTTAGTGTTTCGATGTGGCAATCACCCTGAACCCACAGTTTCGGCATCATGATCAATAGCAGCTTGAGGGCATGGTGTGAGTGGCACTCTGAAAGGCTGGGATTGCTGCTCGTGCTAGTCGCAATTGCAACGACGGTGGTAGTCAAACACCAAAAGGCTATAAATCCAGCATACATCCTACACTACCCCACCAGCAACCAACCGTCCTCAACATGCTATCAAAGCTGTCTGAGGCCGGTAGCAGGGAATCTCCGGCAGACGGCTTGCTTGGTGGCCCTCCAGCAGGAAACCAGACAGATCAGAGTATCTTGGACGGTGAACGAGGAATGCATGCTTGGCTTTAGCTAGTTGGGGTTTGGAGAATCTGGGACTGACGAAAGTTTGAAGATCTAAGACACTTAGTGTGTTGGGTTTCAGTGGTTGTTTGCAGGGCTTTGTAACAGTACCATGATCAGGGGTGGTTGGACAGGTCTGAGCAAACGACACAGGAAGTCATGTCTCAGAGATGGAGCCTGAGACGCTTTGGATTTATGGGTTTAGGGAGAATTTGAGGGTTCAGGGTTTAGGGTTCAGGGGGTTTGGGGTTTCGGGGAGTGCTGCTCCCAGCTGATCGAGTCTGCGTTCAAAAATGTAGAAAGGGGTTTAGGGTTGAGGGCTCAGGGTTTAGGAGGGTGTTAGTGGAAAGGGTTGCCAAACAAACCCTAAACCCCAAACTGGCGTGGCCACTGGTGAGTGAAAGCTCGTGCTAGGAAGGTGCTGATTCTAATACCAACTGAAGAAGGGTTCGTGGCAGGCGTTGTATGATGTTTAGGATTAAGGGTTTAGAGCATTGAGGGTACAGGGCGCATAGGGTTTCGACACGCGCACTCGCACTGGCAGGCAGGGGTTCAGGCGACAACTGATTCACTGCGGGGACATGCATCGACCAACCCCACACCCATAACCCATCTCGAATTTTGCTCCCGTTCCGGCATCAGACAAAGACCAACCAAACAAGTGGAACAGCCAGCTCAGTAGACAACAATGCAACGAACTTCTGATGCCCAGGCGTGGCTCACAACCGAATCTCTCCACTACTAATAAGAAGGATAATGATATGTTCATTCTAATTAATAATACTAGTAATAGCAACAAGTAACCATGATAATGAAGGCTACCTAAACTGACCCAGGCAACGCAACAAGGACAGAAAACAGACCTGTCATTTCTAGGACACGACCAGTGAAGCTTGAGATCGCTCCAGCTCAGCAGCAGTCGTAGTGCACTTCTTGCATACTAAGTAAGGACATCTTCAAAGTAGTAAAGGTAGTTATTTATAATTATAGGTTCTATGTCAAAATAGTATAGGTAATTACTTATAATTATGGGTTCTATGTTACATGCAGTTCAGGCTTCAAAGAGTCGCGCAAGCATCGGAGTAGGCTCGGTGCAAAACTTCGAGCCATGTCGTGCTTCACCACGACGGTCACATAATCTCTTTTTTGGTTCCTTTAAAGGGGTCTATAAGGGTTCCTATAAGGGATTTATAATAAGGCTACTCTAATAATGTAGGAACCTGATTAAGAAATCCGGGACCTATAACCCCAAAATAGTAGGATTCATATAAGGAACCCTGATAAAGGCCCAAGGTTTCTTAATCAGGTTCCTACATTACATAGGTGCCCCAATTGCCAACCCTGAGCCGTCACTGCACGGCCTCTTCCCTTAGGGGTACTTAGAGAAATATGTTCTTAATCTTTGGCTATTATATTCCCTAAGAAACAGCTAAAATTACAAGTGTTGCTAGGGTTCTAAGTTCAGCATAGTGATTATTAAGGCCCCTATACTACAGTACCCTTATAGATCCCTTATAGTAGCCCTTACAGACCCCCTTTTAAAGGAACCCTATTCTATGTTCGGCATAGTTCCGCCATGAAAGAGCCCAGGCTCTGACAATCACTCGGCTCCTGCCGGAGGCCATCTCAGGGGCAGAGGATGCTAACAGCACTAATATCAAGGACAACACTGATTATACTACTACTAATACTAATAATACGGATAATGATATATTCTTACCAATAGTACTAAGAATAACAACAAGTAACAATGATAATGAAGGCTACCGGTCTCTTTGACGGTGGGTCCTGCAAAGTCATTCCGAGTCTCATGTCATTTTTGTTTTCAAGCTTTTCCTTTTCCGCGAGGCACTGAATTTAATGTAGCAAGTATCGTTATAATTGCTATCAGTACTTATTCGTATCACCCGCTACGATTGTATTTTGATTATCGTTATTCTTACCCATAGGCTCCATAGTAGTTCCCTTTGGGGACTACCTGATTACCTTACAGGATGCTAATTATGAACCACAAAAAGGAACGACAATGGATCCTCTTCGATGGGTTATTAGTAAACCACAGGAAAGCGAAAGTCCCGCTCGGAAAAAGGCTTCCAGGATGCTATTGCCCTGGACTTCGCTGGCCCTCCAAGGCACGCGCGGAGAGTTTTGGGAAGGTTCACCTATATGCCTCTACGCATTAAGTGGATAGTATCCAGAATCTTTTATTCCTATAAAGAGGTTCTCTTCTCAACGAAGAATATGGGCCGTGATCCCGAAACCCGACGACCCCTAAGCCCGGAGACTCAGAGACTCCAATATCCCTTAATCACATACCTTCAATTTTTCTAGGACTCCTAATATGATTTGAGGTATATTCCTGAATTTCTGAGTCAGCTCCTCGGCGAGAGCGTTCGGCGCCCTCACCGCTAGTTCTTCAGTTTCGAAACCCAAGGCCATAACGCTGGGATTCCTATGAAGACCCGTTAAGTTTTTTATAGAAACCCATTTCGAAAACGACTGCCCTTATACAGCCTCAACCCTCTACAGAATAGGGCTAATGTCAACCTTCTGCGAAACGACGACGCTGTCCTGCTCCAGGTCGCTTGGCTGGGCCCTGGTGATTGCGCTGGCCGCTGGCCTCTGGCGGTGAGTAGGATTTACGGTTTGGGATGTCGTCATATATCAACTCCAAACCTCGACGCCAGCGTATTTGTCGTAAACTGTGAACACTTAGCCCCACACGCAAACTTTAGAAGCTTCTTGCTCCGAGTTCAGGAAGGTATCGGATTTGTTGGTGCTTTGGTTGCTGGAAGGAAGGAGAAGGCCAGGAATCGGCCTGACATGTTCTTTCCAGTTCGATAGTGGCAGATTCACGTCCTGGTTATAAGGGCTTGATGGGTTAGCCATGACTCACCGTGAGGACAGGCAGCAAAGCTGCATCCGCCAACTTTTGTCCCAGACCCCCAGCAAAACTGCGGGGCACTGGGTTGGGGCGCCTGCGCCACTATTGGGCGGTGTCTCGATATCTCACTCCGAATATTAAGTCAAGCGGTTCGAATGTCCATGTTCAACTTGTTGGCCCTGTCAAGCAGCTTTCGAGTGACCGCCCAGGTAGTAAATGCCAAGCATTTCGTTTGTGGAGTCCTGCTGGTCCAAGCGTTCCAGTGCAAGCAAGCTTCTTGGTGGTTCAGGCTTTTCGGTTGCTTGTTTGTGCGAAAGAGAGTTGAGGTTCAGAGTGCATGCTGCGGCGAGGCGGTGATTTTGAGGAAGCACGGTATTGCTTGCACAAGGGCTGTAAAACTGGCACTTGCGACCAGGATCAGGACCTAATGCTTCAGAACTGCTTACAGAGTGGCCCACCGCCATGCTGCTGGACAGGGTGCCCTGTGCCACATCCAGGAACTGGCTTAGGGTTAAAGGTGGCCACAGGGCAGCTTGCCGTGGCTGAGATTGGCAAGGTGAGGCCACTGCCCTAGAAACCCCGAGAGCAAGTTCAGGCCAACAGCTGGCTTTGTGATTGTGACATGCTACACAGCGCCCTTGTCGTGCTAGCCAGCGATATCCGTCATGATATTCAAACAAGAAGAACACAATTGCCACCCTGGTTGTTCTTGCTGGGACTGCTCATACTACTTAGCAG